CCCCCCCCCAGCGTATCCTGGTTTTCAAGTACCCCAGCAGGGATAGGGTTAAGAACGTTTCGATTTACTCATTACACAACAAATAAAAGTATGATCCCTAAAAAAAGAATATTTTAGACAACCTATTTAAATTTTTAATTCTCATCTTGTCTTTATGTTGTGAATATTAATCTAATTTACATAGAGAATAGAATATATATTAGAGGGGAATTTAAAGAATCTTTGAATTTTTTCAGTCTCTTTCAGCCTGAAAAGGGAGTTCAAAATGTACAAATCATGTAAATGTTCACAAAATATATGCAGTAGAGTACACATTAATACAGTATGTTCCTTAGACTATTCATTTCAATTTCGAATTTTTTAAACTGTTAAATAAACTTTATAATGAATTAGGTGAATAAAAACATCATTTGATTTATAGTTATAACGGAAAATCATCGTTTGTAAAGTGGAAGGCATAGAGTCTATGTGAAATGATCATTGGTCAATTATGAAACCAGTCTTTTCCATAATTTGGTTTTCTTTTAACAATAATTTTAGATTTTCTATAAAATGATATTCCAGTACCCAAAAGGTTATATAGCATAAATATGTGAAGTACACCTGCAGTATGGAAACAGTACAACAAAATGGCCGTTTTACACTTTTTTCTAGTAAATTCCCCTCTAATACATATTCTATTCTCTATGCTAATATATGATGAGACGCCAGACATAACACAATAAATACACTTTAGTGTCAGCTATTCACGCCATATTAATTATGCTGATACAGCATCATATAGAAATTAACCACCAAACCATGATAGACGCTAGTTTAGACTCTCTGATATAGTTTTAAGTTTCAAATTTTAAAACTTTAAGTTTAAATGTAGATCGTTTTAAGTTCTGAAGATAGTTTCAAGTTTAAATATAGTTTCATAAAAATTATTTCTTGTTCAGATAGTTTCATGATCAGATATAGTTCCATGATCAGATATAGTTTCATGATCAGATATAGTTTCATGATCAGATATAGTTTCATGATCAGATATAGTTTCATGATCAGATATAGTTTCATGATCNTAGTTTAAAGATCAGATATAGTTTCAGGGTTTTATATAGTTTCAAGATCAGAAATAGTTTCAAGATCAGACAAAGTTTCAAGATCAGATATAATCTTATGATCATATATTGTTTCAAGTTTAGATATAGTTTCAAGATCAGATATAGCTTTAATTTCAGATAAAGTTTAAAGATTAAATATAGTTTCATGAACACGTTTTATGAACAGATTTAGCTTCAAGATCAGATATTCATATAGTTTCATGATCAGATATAGTTTCAAGATCATATATCTATAAATAAACCTCTTCGCTCATATATACATATATATATATTATATATTAGCTAAAGCTGGGCAAACGGATAGACCAAATTGGCTGAAATTTTTTAATGAATCAATGGGTATCCCGGGGCTAAAAAATACATTTTTTTTTCATAAAAACTTATTTTACCTTGAAAACTGCGTTAAGATTGGCAAAGTTTTGGAAAGCTGTTCCGTAGAATTGAATCATTTTGGTAAAATCTCCAGATTTCTTAGCTTCAGTACACTCCTTTATAAACTTCTCCCGACTCTTCTTAAACTTAGGATAGTTAGGAGTAGTTGAACCAGCAGCTGTAGCTTGAGCTAGCTGGGAGTGTAAACTCCCCCGTCTACCATTTAATGATTGGTTTAGAGGAGACGTATTTCCACTACCAATCTGGAAAAAAAATAAGAAATTAATTTCAAAATATCGTAAATGAACTAATTATTCACTAAAAACTCTAGTTTTCTGATTCTTTTATGTTTGCAACCTGAGTCGTAGACCTTTTAAATTTCTGCTATAGGTCAAATAATCAAGGTTTAAAATATTTAAGGTTTACAGCATCAGGTTGCAAAGATGAAATAACAGTTTGAGGTGGGTAATCAATACAATGAATAAATATAAGGAAAATTAAGAAGAAAAAATTAAACTTTAACAAGTGTATTCGAAGAATTAACGATTTAAAGGGACTGTAAACGTATCTTCAAATGACTCCCTTTAAAGAGTTACATGCTCAAATTATAACGCTAACCATGTGAGCAAGATGTCATCGTTTTTCCAAAAAAAATTGGTAAATTTTCTTTCTCGTATGTTCTTCTTTTGCATAGACAACAGGTTTAAAATCAGTACCATTGTCAATCAGGCGTGCCATTTTTTAACTTGAGGATCACTTAAAATTACGTTAACTTTAATATTGAACATATCTGGTGTGGGTTGACCTGAACTAGTTTCCCCTCGGATCCTGTATGTAGAGGAGGGAGACGGTATTCGTTCATCTCAGATACTCCAATCCCGAGGAAACTCAAGCTTATCCGTCCCAGGGAGGAGGCCATGAAGTTACTGATTGCTCCTTGATCCTGGGATCCAGAGCTAATAGTTGGATCATGAATTGCTGGCAGTACTCTAACTAAATTAGGATTGCTTATACGAAATTGTAATTAATTTTATGTAGTAGAATAGAACTAGTAAAATTAGAAAAAAATTCTTATTGTTTATAAATTAATAAAAGATAATATGTACAGTCAATGTCATTTTCTGAATTCGAAAGATATAAATAGTTTCTTTGTTAAAATATTCTTCAATTATAGCATTTAATTGAAAATTCATCTTGTTAAAATTTGTTTCACAATCTAATTAATAAATAAATCTAGTTTTGGATGATCCAATTATAGTTCAGAGGATGAAAATGTAAAACTGGTGAACGATTATATTCCGTCAAATCTTACACTTCTACTTTTAACATTTATACAATACGTATGATGTAGGTTCAATAAATAATTGCAAAAGAAGGTCGTCTTTGATCTTTGAAATAAGTTTATTCGTCAATTTACTCTTACATGTATGATTACTGAAACAAACAGCATAAAATTATTACCTGCACTCTGAGTTCTACTACTGGTAGGTCGGACCGAGCTGGCCGGTCTAGGCCGAGCTGCTCCGTTCGCGAGCTGTGCCGCGGGACATTCAGGATCATACCAGGATCCACAATAGGGACATATCTCGCGCACACGAACTCCGGAGATGTGAACGGTCACCTTAATCAAATGAATTAAGTCTTTGCCACAAACTCAAATTTCTTATCACTATTTCTTCGCAACCTTTGATATTTCAAACTTAGATTTGTTGATCTAACAGAATTCATAGTTTGAAATATCTAAGGTGTAATGGGTTGCAAAGATATAGGGATTAGAAAATCAGAGTTTGTGGCAAAGACTCAATTTCTTTGAATATTTCTGGAAAGTTAGATTGCATTTAGAAATGTGAATTCTCTTCTAAAGCTAATAGGGTTGAGTTACAAAAGAAATATATGAAAGAATAAACATCCATGTAAAGAATATCTACATATATAAAAAATAACAAACTTTAAAACATCTAGATAGATAAATAAAGATATCATTATTTCAATTATATCAGTTAATTACATGTAAAAATTTACAAAATGACGTTATTCTAGAAAAACTGCGACCATTTTCTAAAAATCAAACGAAAAGTATAATTTCCAAATTTCGAACCTTACATCCTGGACAGGTTATCTCTAGAACAGTATCATCTACTGCACTGATGCTGTTAAATACAGACAAACTGAAATATTAATAGGATTTATGAGATTTGTATTTTTATTGGGATTATTAGGAGGGTTTCCAAAAAAGTTTTCGTTGAACGAAATTCGCAAGTATGAACAAACGAGATTCTTTCAAAATTTTCACGAATTTCGATGTACTTTCTTCGAAATTTTCGACCCAATTTTCGTGAAAATTTCGTCCATTTTCGCGAAATTTTCTTTCAATATATGATCATTAATAATATAATTCTTTTCCGTTTCCCGTCAGGAGAATTGTTGGATTTGTTGTATTTCTGACTGAGTGTCTGGTGAGGCCCCCCCCCCAAGGGAAAATGTGTCCCACATTTTTATGTTTATAGATACTGAACAACTAGCAAATAATCTTAGGAAAACCATAATTACTTAATATACTAGTTTAAAATCGTATGTATGAAAATTGATAAAATAAATTGTTAATCAGTGATTTTCTTCATTTAACCCTATATATTATCTAGATTGTTAGTATGTGTAAATACTGTTCATCTATAAGGGTGTTCAACTGAACATGACAATTTAAAAATGACTTAGTATCATGTTCGATGTGAATCTTAGGTAAATAAACTCTGAGAGTTAAATTCTATTAAAATATTTCTATGGCGACTGCTATGTGTAAGGGGTGGTTAAAATCAGCAAAGGAACTGAGTCTTTGTCACACAATCAAATATTCTGTAGCCTATATCTTTGCAACCAGATGGTTTAAACCTTTGATATTTCTAACTCATGATTATTTGATCTAACAGAATTCCTAGTTTGAAATATCTAAGATCCACAACATTGGATTGCTATAATATAGCTGGATCAGAAAATCAGAGTTTGTGGCAAAGACTCAATTCCTTTCGTTGTCAATAGGACTTAAATTAAACAGTTCTTAAACAAAAAGTTTCAATGAAAATAAAAAAATCTTAATATTTTATCAAACATGTTAGTAACATAAGATTAAAATTTCGCGGAAACGGGTTGTTGAAAATTTTTTCGAATATACATTGATAAATATATAGTGAATACTACAGGTAAGTATTGTAACTACTATCTGTTAAATATATTGATGAATATAGCGTGAATACTACAGGTAAGACTAAAGGTAAGTATGGTAACTAATATATATTAAATATATTGATAAATATAGCGTGAATACTACAGGTAAGACTAAAGGTAAGTATGGTAGCTAGTATATATTAAATATATTGATAAATATAGCGTGAATACTACAGGTAAGACTAAAGGTAAGTATGGTAGCTAGTATATATCAAATATATTAATGAATGTAAGACTAAAGGTAAGTATAGTAACTAATATATATTAAATATATTGATAAATATAGCATGAATACTACAGGTAAGACTAAAGGTAAGTATGGAAACTAATCTTCAACAATATATAATGATTGGTCGATAGAGAAAGCACTGCACTGTGTATTATAATACATGCCTAGACCAAAACGTATAATAAAACTTTTAGCTTAATTTCAAAGAAATATTTTACTTGATTGGAATGTTTTAATTGATTTAAATATTTTTCTTCCTTCTTAAATCTCCTCTCTCTATTTAATCCCTCCATGCCTCTCATCTTTCCCTCATTCTCTCTCTCTCTCTCACCCCTCACCCTCTCTCCCTCATTCTCTATCCACCTCTCTCTCTCTCTTACACTCTCGATCTTACTCTTTCACCCTCTCTCCCATCTTTTTCTACTTCACCTCCCTGTTATTTCTTGTCTCCACCCGCCCTCCCATCTCCTTTATACCAATCTATCTCCTCGTACTTCTCTGCTTTTCGTCTTTCCACTCTCACATCTTCTTCCACCCCTCTCATTTCTTCCATTCTTTTTTCAATCCCTTGTTCCATTCTTTCGTGTATTTTTCGTTTGAAAAAAGTAGCGAATTTAACCTTGATAGCGTTTTTATTTCCTTCTCACTTCCCAAAATTTTTTGATACTCTATCACAATTAATATACCACTACAGAGTCTGAATTATGCAATATAACCTATACCCAAACAACCGAACAAGCATGTTGAGAAACATTAAACCAAACCCAAATAAACCTTTTCATTTGCATTAACCCTGATATGGATAAAAAACTGTCTTAGTTCAAAAAAGAATAAAATTTGAATGAGGAACTGAATTAAACTTTTAAAAAAACAATATCTTGATGTTAATTGTTCTGCTTTTTAGTTAATAAGTTATGTTGCAGAAAAAGTATAAAGGCTAAATCTACAAAATCAAAAAATCAACAGTGTTGTTGTGTTTAAAGTACCATTCTTTATGTATATTGTATACGGACTAATAGACGTCATAACATTTAGACAAAAACATTATTTACAGATTTAATTATAAAATTTACAAAGAATAATGAAAAACACCCATAAATTAAATTCTGCGCATCTACACTTTTCGAGATGTGTAATCTTCAATCAATTTATGAATATATAAATTAAAAAAAGTTTTATATTTATAAGTATATATTTATATGTATATATTTATATGTAGATAGATATGATAGGTTTAATCGAACCTGAACCCAACAGTAGGAGAAGATTCCATCATAGAGAACCAAGGAACTATAGGAACCACTGGAACCTAGAACTAAGAACCAGGAACCTAGAACTAAGAACACTGGATTCTAGAACTAAGAACCAGAAACCAGTAACATTTTCCTGAAGTATAAACGGAGTGGAGTTGATATTTACGACTGGTTCGGTAACTAGGCAGCAGCCAGGCCTTTCTCTGCCTTTATACCACATAGATTATTAATAAAGTTTAAAATATGTGAACCACGCTTCTACGTAATAGAAAATAAAGGATTTCATGGCTATTGTGCAAAATTTTGATTATTAAAAATCAACTTTCAGTTGGATCAATCTTTCCTATACTAGGACGATCTGTATTCTTATGATTTTTAACCTGAACGGTTTGGGTTGTACTTGATTCCATCGTTGGTTGCAAGTAATAATGAGTGTTATGGGTTTCCCAGGCCGTCTCACTTCAACAATATATTTATTGTTTAATGTTCAATGTTTAATGTTCAGGGTTCTTTACTCATTGTTAGAAAAACAATGAATTTTTGTTACTGTTTTACACGCATTAAACGTTAATTGATTTTTATAGTTTTTGTTTTTATAAGATTTAATACAGTTAACTTTGCAGCTAACATTAACATACAATCAATCATTATCATGAGAAAAGGTCCAAATTATGCGAAATTCCATGTACGACTTTTTTTACCTCTAGTTCTTCTAGTGTTGATTTTACGCCCAAGTATGAGACAGGTAAATTTATTTGGTTGCATTTTAGAAATTCAAAACTTTTTTATTCATTTCAATAGGTCTTCAAAAAGAAAAGTTTTCAATATTGAAAACATGAAATACCTTAATACAACGTAAATATACTTTATTTTGACTTGATTTGTAGTGAATAAAAAGGAAAGATAATAAATATAAGTGGGAGAGCAAAGTTTTTTTAACAATTTAGGCAAAGCTTCAAACCGAGAATGCTGTTTAAAGTATTTTTATAGCTTATGGTACGAATGGTACAGGGTTACCCACAAAGAATGAGACTCTAGAGAAGACAGGAAACTCTTGAAATATGACAATGCCCACTTAACTTTGTTAATATATGTATTCTGCCTTAGATATAGTAACCTAACGGCTTAGTCAATAATTTAGCAACTAAACAAACAAGTTTACAGCTGCAGGGAATCGTGAATGTAAGGAAACAAACAGTATACATTTCGTACAATCGTCTCTGAAGTCTCATCCTTTGTGGGTAACCCTGTATCAAGAATGTTCACACAGGAAAGTCAGTTAGAGTAAAAACACACAAGGTCTATTTAAATTCTTTAATAAATACCACTTCATTATGGAACACACTGTGATTACAGGTCTATTTGAATTCTTCAATCAATACCACTTCATTATTGGAACAAACAGTGATTACAGGTTATTTAAATTCTTCAATAAATACCACTTCATTATTGGAACAAACTGTGATTACATGTTTTTTGAATTCTTCAATAAATACCACTTCATTATTGGAACACTACAGGTCTATTGGAACACACTGTGATTACAGGTCTATTTTTGCATAAATATATGCTCTAAAAAGAGTACAAGAGAGAATAAAAAAGAAATAAAAAAGTTAGATAGAGATGAAGAAATAAACTCAGAAATAAAATGAGAAGACAAAATATTTGAAAATAAAAATAAATTATTAGACACACCATGGAGTTATTGGACAAAGTAAGTATTTGGAGCTAGCAAGCAAGAATAGTACAGGTCACAGAATGCCAGAGTTACAGACCCCAAGTCAACCATGACTCCACTGAAAATTTTCAAACAAGCTAAAAAGAAGGTTCATTTGCAAACAAACATGCAGCACGTAAAAAAGAAGTGCACCCCCTAGGAAAAAGGGCGTACACAGATATAAATCTATGCGCGCCGAATTTTTTTTGTGCACCCTGATGAGCACCTAGGGATGCCGGATGGATCGTTTTCATTTTAGAAAAACAATAGTTTCGTTATGAAAACGACGACGAAAAAACAAAAAACGAAACATTAATAGTTTTTAAAATTAATCGATCTTTTTCAAGTCGTTTTTAAAAACGGTCGTTTTTAAGACAATCTTTTTAAAACAACCTTTTTTAAAAAGTTGGTTGTTTTATTAACGATCGTTAACGACGACCCTTCGTTAACGATCGTTAAAAACGACCCTTCTTAATAATGACCGTACATATGACAACAGTCCTTCTTTAACGATCTGTCGTGTAGAATATTAATTATCTTTACACTAATCATGTCCTAATTATCAATCATTACCTTATCCAATAACTAATTAAATCAGACTTCAAGGAATGTCATACTTAAAATTAAAGATGTTAGATGACCATACTTCAAGTCAAATAAATGAAGCCTAGGGTTTACGATTTGCTACTATTCAACTTACTTCTCTGTGTATATATGCCATATGGGAAGGTGATTTTCATAGTCGACCATTTGGTTTCAAGTTTTAAGTACCACTTTACTCAAACCTACACACAATCGTCAATTTAAAATATTTACTTTAAAAATGAGGAAATACCTGCAGTTGCATAAATGACCAAAATTCGAATTTTGATTCTTTTACGAAAGCTGAAAGAAAACAATAAATTCTCTATAACGAAGTAAAAGACGTTTCCTACATGAATGATTGATGAATAATTTTAGCACATTTTTATTAAGAATGCAAATCTCAAAACTTCTAATTAAATTACACTTGTTTAACCCTGCAGTACTAAACCACATAATCTTTAAAGACCTCGCAACTAAAACACGTAATTTAAACCTTGTAGCTAGAGTTATACATAATTAATCTCTATAAAAGAATAAAGTTACAAATCTAAGTTCTTTTATATTTTTTACATGACTCAGAATAACATAAAACAATGTAACAAACGGTGATCATTAAGCTTTCCGCCTTAAAAACGGTCTTCTTATGGCCATTTTATTGATTGGACAAAAAAATAAACAAGTATTACAGTTGCAGGGATTTGTCCAGGTCTGGATTAGCTACACATCCTCACTCTATACACTACAACCTCGTTGGAAGGTTTAACGTCAATATAAGAAAACAGACAATAAAAAATTTGTAAAATCTTCTCTGAAGTCTTATCCTTTGTGGGTATACCCAATATAATATTATTAACTCATACGTAAAGGGCGTATAGAGGGGGGGCAAAGAGGCAGTGCCCCCACCTGGACATGTAAAGGGGGGCGTATACCCCCCCAGAACTCAGAGCCAACAAATATATTTCTTGCTCAGAGCTATCGTACTTTTCAAATCTGAAACTGAAGAGTGAAGAGTATTGAAAAAATTAATTTGCTGTCAATTTTCTGCTAGTTTTGTTTGAAGGAGTGTTAAAGTAATACCTGAAAGGTGTGATATACAAGGGCGTATACAGAAATAAATCATAACTATTTCTGTATCCCTTGTCATATATGAAATCTGAGCAAATTATATTCCTATTACTCCTTTTTTCATTCATTACCTCATTCAAAGTTCTGCAAGTTGAAAGTTTATTGAGTACGTATGACGTCACTAAGTGTACGCTGCCCTATCAAACCCAGCTTTCTCTCTCTCCTCTCACTCTCTACCTACCTGTCCTACTCCTACCTACACTGACTGCTGAGCTACGCTGCCTGCTGAATGCTGATAGTATCAATCCTTCACATATGACGAGATAGGCCTAGCTAGCGCTTTAAACCGTTATTGATAAAATGAAAATTCTAGTGGATTAGTGTTTAAATTAGTAAAAATGGAACCTAGAAAGAGTGAATCTAGTCCAATACTCGACAATGAGATTAGTGAGGACAGTATATTTGTTAAAAAGTACCATTGCGCCCACTACAGACGAAAATGCAAATTTGTGGTGAGTTAAAATTCAAGTTTTTAAGATTATAATCGTGTTAAGGGTAGTTAAAAAGTCTTTTACGGTCGTTCTAATGAGAACTTCCTAATACCTGTCTTAGCTGCAGCGCTCGGCCATTGAATTGTCTTAACCTTACCTAACCCTAAAATAAAAAATAAATGATAATAATTTGCGGTAAAAAGTAGTCATGTGCACAATTAATAGGAGGGCAAGGGGGAGGCGGGTGGGGGGGGATGGGGGGTCCTAAAATCGTTCTCTAGGACAGACCAGTTATAATGCTAATCATTGTTACAATTCATAAAATGTGTATCATCAGCTACTTTTAGCAATTCCAAAACCTCAGAATTGTATTATGTATATACGAAGTTTCTTCTTCATATGTATCAAATAAATGATGTACCTAATTATTTGAAGTTCAAAGCTGAAAACAGAATTGTAGATATCGAGATGAATTTGCTTGAACTCTTATTTTTATTAATCTTAAGATTAATTTAATCTTACATTAATATAATATCCAGGAATGTATCTAAAATACAGCCAATCAGAGTGTCGATTTTAGATACCCAACAATTGACGTCAGTAAGAGAAAAACTCCTATTGGTCGGAATCCAGCAGGGATTACCAAAAGAGAGGATTAAAAAGAAAATTAAAAGTGTCCACGTTGGATGCAGAGATTTAGCAATCGGGATTAAGGGTATCCAATACAAGAGTTTTCAGCTTAGGTTTGATAATCGTCCCATAATCGATTATCAGCAGTTCCCTTAAAAGCTGTAAATGAGAATCTCACCATTTACATGAGAGCTGTGGTACTTCTTCACAAACCGCGGCCAAACTAATTTTTTCAATTTAAAGATATTCAAGATAAATTAAAGATTCTTTATCTGATTCATAGAAGTTTTTTTTACTCAAGGGGGGGCAAAAGGACTTCTACTCCCTTCAGGGGGGAGGAGGGGCAAGATGACTATTGCCCTCCCTCTTCCTCCTAGAATTTGCTTCTGTGTATTATTGAACAATATTAGCCTTATTATGACGTAAAGAATAACAATTAAAGGGATTATTTCAAGATGTAAAGATGGCAATGATCGATTCACAACGGTACCCTTTAAATCTTTTTCTGATCAATAATGTGGATTCGTGGAAAATATTGAAAAAAGTGTTAGTTTTGATAATTCATGTTTTCCTACAGCAGAAATGCGCAAGTAACTTTTGTTGAGAAATCACGATTGAAAATAATAAGTTTTCAAAATTTTAAACATGGATATCTAGTACATACTTGATCAGATAAAGATGTTAAGGGTACCATTGTGAATCGGTTATCGCTCAGTTACTTGGAATTACGCTTACAGTCTGAATTAAGTCTGTAATTTTATTGTATTTTTATCTTAAAAATATTTAAAAGAAAAGATGGATCATTAATGGTTCAATTACATTTTTAGATTTCCGGTAACAAGCTCTTTCTATTTTTAGATGGGTCTGATATATTTCGTTAGAAACAGAAACATTAAGATTTACATAAGACTTTATCAGTTTTCTCTTATAAATAAATTATATTTAACGAGTCTGACATTTCTTTTCCCCTCACAAAGTTTTCGCGTTGGAATTTAGCAAGGACAAGGTCAAGCAGGGGGAAAATACATACCGCTTCGTTTTCCCCACCCCCTACTGTACTCACCCAATCATTCCCCATCCCCTACTATACTCACCCAATCATTCCCCCACCCCCTGCTTACGGAAGTCGATGACCTGCATTTGTAACTTCAGCGGTTTTAATGTTTGTTGTTAATCAATAAGTTGATACCTGTAAGGAAATAGAAAATACGAACATGAACTTCTGGACTATTAAAGAGACTGCGAGCGTAATTTCAAGTAACCTTCCATTCAAAGATGGCTATGCCCAATTTATAGCGGTATCATTGACACCTTTATTTTATTAGTAACGTGAAAGATATTGTCGTTTTTATAGGTTTAAATTTGTTACATCACGACGATTTTAGATGTTTTCTTGCAGTAGAAATGCGCAAGTCATTTTCGTAGAGAAACCACAGACTAAAATAATCAGTTTTAAAAGTTATTATCTTTTGATATCTAATTCATACTAGATCGTGCATTGCAATCTTTGCATGGAGGGTCACTTGGTATTACGTTTACAGTCCCTATAATGATCACTCTTCTATGGCCAATGGTTTCTTCCGATTCTTTAATAGGCTTAGTTACTACTCTTTCTTTCCTAATCATTGTCGCCCTTACTATTCTCCTCTCTAACTATTCGTACTTGATCTTCCATACAATTCTTATATTGTCACTCTGACTCTTTTCACTTTTTCCTCACTCCCTTTGATCTTATTCGGGTTTACGCTTTAAAATACGTGCTTGTCGTAACTTACTCTTTCTGGCTTTAATGTTCTAAACATTTGTTAAAAACATGCATCTTGTAAGGATCATATTTTTAACCTTAAAATCTCTTAGATAGCACCATGGGCAGGGGCGGCTTACCATATTTCAAAGGGAGGGGGCCGGGGAGTAAACACTTCTGTAAATTTTTTCAGACCCTTGGAATTTTATTTAGGTTTTATGGTAAATTTTATGTAAACCCCTGATAAAATCCTTTCTTTAAAACCAAATTAAGAGGACTGGAAGGTGCCCCCCTCTCTAGGTTCGCCCCGTCTTTAAAACTAACTCATACAAAACACATATTTAGTTACAAATTTGAAAATCAGCCCGCAATATTGCATTCAGCGCAAGAAAATCTAAAATAGGATCTGACCGAATATATTTATTTATCTTGAACTTTTGTGCAACTTTATTTTGGGAAAACTTAAAATTTTTAATATTTTTGTCACAATGAAAAATAGGATTTTATATAAAAAATTATTTTAACCCTCTCAATCAATACCTAATGGATTGTGTCCGTAATTTATCAGGATTTTTTAGCCCAATTTTTATAACCTTAGCTTGGCTTTGTAACAATAAACTAAAAAGAGAAATTAAAAATCGTCATCATTCCTTTTACGGGGTTGGTTGAGTGGTTGTGGGGGGGGGGAGGAAGATTTTTCTTGGCTCTTTTAAACTGTCGTAATTTTGATTCAGACTCCTTGCTGTAACAGAGTGTATCGGTGTAGATTCTGTCATGACGAAGACCAGCAAAATCATACTCTTAAAAGGTAGATTTTGAATTATATTAAAGGGATTGTTAACGAATTAAGAGACCTTTTGATAAAATTTAACTCGTCATTTTAAGAAGGGNTCTGTCATGACGAAGACCAGCAAAATCATACTCTTAAAAGTAGCACTGTTAACAGTCTACAAGAAATTGTTAAAGAATTTTATTAAGTATAAATAATTTCTAAAATTGCATTTTGTAAATTCTTTAAATTATGCAACCTTGCATTTCACATGCAAGTAAATCATTCTAATTATGCGTATTTCGCAATTTTTCTTCTTCTATATTTAAGTACGTCTAGGTTGCAGGGGTCTTACACAAATATCATTTGATTAAGTTTAGACTGAATATAGAAAATATTCCCCCCNCCCCCCAATATTAAAAGTTTAATGTGTGCACTGCTCAGGGAGGATGTAACGGTAGTGGAGTGTTCTAAGTGCGGGGAAAGGCAGGCTGTTCGGGAAACCTGTGTCAAGTGCGAGACAAAGTTCGGACAGGTACTATTCTTTCCCATTTTTTATTCCTCCCTTCCATTATTGTCCTTTTTCATCTTCATCCTTCCATTGTTCTTCTCTCTCATTTCTGATCTTTCCACTACATTCTTCTACCGGGGTTTTTTTTTCGTTCTTGCTTTCAACGCTTACCTTTCATCCTCTCTGCTATCTTATTCTCTAACTTTTATCCACAGTTACTTTTGCATTTTAATCCTTCTCGTTTTGAACCTACAGTTATTGATCACCATCTTCTTGTTTATCTTTTAATTCAATTTTTTGTCTCCTTCCGTCTTCTTTTCCATTTATATCCCTCTTAATTTTGCTTCTTTTTCTTCCTTTTCTTCTTTCCTTTTCCCGTTCCTTCTCCTTTCTCCTCTTTCCCCACTTTTTCTTCTCCTTCCTCCTTGTTCCTTCTCCATTCTGAACCGTCTTTTAAATTATTCTAGTATTTCTGCTACGAGTGTAAACTGTACGATGACGAGGAGAAAGATCAGTTTCACTGTGAAGGTTGCGGAATATGTCGGGTAATTTTTTTAACAATAACTTACAAACTCAGAGGTGAAAACTTTTGTCTTGTTAAAGGGACTGTAAAGGAAAAATGAAAGGGGGTATAGGCTGAAAGCTAATTTCACTTTAGCTCTAGATCGCGACCCATGAAAGTTATATCTGATGTTCCTGTCTCGAGAAATTGATATACAACTGTGTCAAATTTATACGAAAATTAATATATATACAATTTTGTATAAAAGTAGTGGGTTTAAATAGATCAAATTCAGCAAATAAGCAACCAATCTGAAAACGATGATATCCCAGAGAAAGCTAATTGTAACTTAGGTTTACTTTTATATTTGTTATTTCTATTTTCAATAGATTTCATTCATAATATTATTTTTACGTCCGTATTACTTGACCAGAAATTCCACCAATGGCAGTGCAGTAAAGTGGTCACGTGATACAGGCGGAGACACGTGACCAGTATACTGCTCTGCCATTGGTGATAGTTCTGGTCACGTGATTTAAGTTTCAGATTTTCAAAATTTTACATATATGAATTTTCGTATAATTTTAACACAGTTTTATATCAGTTTCTCGAGACAGGAACATCAGATAAAACTTTCATGGGTCGCGATCAAGAGCTAAAGTGATTAGCTTTCAGCCTATACCCCCTTTCATTTTTCCTTTACAGTCCCTTTAATCCCTGGATCAAGCCGTTATTTGTATCTTTCATCGTTCAAAGGCTTAAATATATTTCTCTTGTATATCCCATGGAAGGAACGGAACCCATCATGGTTAACTAGGAATTGAGGGATCAAGCGCTTATCCTGCTTTTAAAAGTTTTACAGTGGAAATCGGGATCAAGCTGTGTAGATTAATGCTATCTCACTTCAAAGTTTTTACCTGAGGTCTTCTTCGTATCTTAAAGTTTTTAAGTGCCTTAAATTCGTTTATAAATGGCAACTTTTTATTAATTAATAAATGATTTAGGTTGGAGGAAGAAAAAACTACTTCCATTGTCACAGGTAAAATATTTTAATCTGTTTTTGGTTAATCTAATAATTTTTACAAAAAAGTTTTTCTTTTGAAGAAGTGATAACTTTCTTTTTATCCATATAATGTAAAGTTTGCATATATTATGACTCCCCAATACCACGAATGCTGTTTTGCGCCGGTCGGCGACTTTTAAGTTAACATGAAGGATTGGAATGGTTTCTCTCAGATGGAAAGGTACAGAATGGTAAAAGGAAAAGTTTATTCATCTTCAGGAGTTTATACACTAGAAATACATCAAAGTTAGAAAAATAGAAATAATTTTAAATTATTCACATATTTAAATTGTATGAAATAAGTTTAAGTTATATACCAATAACGCTCTGGAGTACAAATATGTTGATCCTTCATGTATTCAGTCAATACTGACTAGTTACAGGATGATTTTGTGTAAAGTGCAGTTTGATTTCGCGAAACACTGGCCCAAAAAGGACGGAAAAAAAGGAAAAATTTGCTATCACAATTTTGATAATTAGACGATGTATATAATCAGAATCAGATACTAGTTTATGAACTCGTCAACTGCATCACATCATCTCAGGACTCATTCAAATACATCTAAGAAGTATCAACCCTCTTATACTGGAACCCTGCTTTTACCAGGACCAGGACAGTGGAATTATTATTTGTCCAGTCAGGACACTGGAATTATTATTTGTCCAGTCAGAACACTGGAATTATTATTTGTCCAGTCAGGACACTGGAATTATTATTTGTCCAGTCAGGACACTGGAATTATTATTTGTCTAATCAGGGGCGTTCAATTTTAGAAGAAATAATTCATTAAAGGTTGTACTTAACAGTCCATTTAAACCATACAAGATCGCGATACAAACCCCTCCCTGCAACCAACCCTCTGCCTCCTTCCGGAGAGTGGGTGCAATGATACTGTTATGTCTGAGTAGTTAATCATCTAGGAATTTAATTTTTTTATTTGGTCATAAATCTTCGAATTAACCCCCCCACCCCCCTACCAAGGTGACTTGGAGTCTGGAAACCTTGTCATCAGTGCTTCGAATCTAATTAATTTTGATGCGAATCCTGATCCTAGATCCGCACTGGAAAAAAATGGATTTCTTTAAGTTTAACTTCTTTTTGTTATTTTTATGCTAAAACTTGATGAACCATTCAGAGATAAGGGCATTTCGGATAATCTCTTTTTTTTTCTACAGTCCAGATTTGGGGTTTGAGAGCAAAATATTTTTGTTTGATTATTTGCCCCCTGGATCTGCATATTTTTGGATCCTAAGCAGTGCTCGTCATATTTTCTAAATTTATCCCATTTCATTATTTGGATCTGTTCGGGATCCTAAACTTCTAACTTGAACTATAATCTAGGTGTGATATGTGTCTACCGAACCATCTGCAAGGAAAACATAAATGTGTGGAGAAGGTATCCCGGAGTAATTGTCCAGTATGCCAGGAAGATATTCACACGTCCCGGATACCCTCTCAGATCCCTCCTTGCAACCATCTCATTCACAAGAACTGTTTTGATGAGATGCTTTCCAACGGTCACTACGCCTGTCCGACCTGCGGGGCATCAATGATACCAATGTCAGATATCTGGAAAATGTACGACAAGGTATTGTTTCTTTTTTTGTTTTTGTTAGTCATTAATACTTTATGAAAGTTGGCACCTTAATGAATGAAAGGGATCTAAAATGATTGCATGCCCCAAACTTGGTCGTATTGCTGGGATCATAACGCTTAACGTAAAAATAAATAAATCAATTTGGATTTGTAGCATAGATCAAAATAAATTAAGATCCGGGATGAAAACCCATTCCTTGGTCAGGACTTGAAACTCCAGGCTGATGTTAGAAGCCTAAAGCTTTACCCTATAATTCATTATTTGATTTGATTTGATATGGATTTATCGCGAAACAAGATGTGTACGCTCTCACGCAAAAATCGAGCAATATTTTGTTAATTACTCCTTATAAACCTAGCTAGAAAGCGCGTTGCAGTTTTGCAATGTTTATTTACGGCGCTACAAAAAAGTATAATCGACTTTGTGAGGTAAAACCTAAACCAAGCCGTTGCGAGGCTTTACAGTCTAGGCTGTCTAAAAATTTGATAACTTACTTTCATAGTTTTCTGGTAGTCACTGACTTGACAATTAAAAGGTTTTTTCTTACAGTGTTAACCAAAATAGAAGGAAGAAAATTGCAATAATAAGGAAGAAAGAGTGACCGGCTTTTTTGCTAGTGAAAAAAATGTAGAATGAATTTCTGAAATAATAATTCCTTGCTCTATAGGAGATAGAAGAAACTCCGTTACCGGCGAAAATGAGAAACCTGTTCGTTAAAATTTCCTGCAAGGACTGCACCAAATCATGTCAGACACCATTCCACATTCTAGGTTAGTAGATAGTTTTAAGAACAGGTTCAAGGAATCTTTAAAAAGTGACAGCATTTAGAAGTTCAAAACTTTTCTTTAGTATTAACCTCCCTAATTTCAAAACAGGCAGAAAAACTTTACACATTTTCTTCCTTTAGATAGGGAAAAGTTATAGTTTGACTCAGGAATGATTTTTGAGGGGTTCACTCCCGTTAAATTATGTTTCTAAAAGATGTGGATCCCGAATTCATCCTAAAAAATGGATCCGAATCCAGCATTACGGATAATCCTTTGAAGTGTCATGAATAGAACTTTCTTACTCCGTCGTTGATTGTCCAATCAGAGATTAAAGGAGTTTTCCGATCTCTTATTATTCTACACCGGAGAATTGTGTTATGGTTGATATTTTCCGATCTCTTATTATTCTATACCGGAGAATTGTGTTTTGGTTGATATTTTTCCATTTGGACTCGGATTCAGATCCGTATTCCGAGTTGCATTTATATTTTATAAAATGATGTATATTATACATGACAATACTTTAGGAAACAAGTGTAGGGACTGTGGTTCCTACAATACTGTACAAGAGAAGGGAGGATACCTACGACGTTCTCCAGATGGAACAATGGTTAAAGCTTCACTAATTCCTGGGGAACCCGGAGAACCAGGCCAAGAGTCCGACCAGGAGATGGATCAGGAGGACGAAGATCATGAAGATACACGTCTAGATCATGAAGATCTAACTGAGATGAGGATAGAGGAAGGAATTGATGCTGTAGCGCAGCTGGGTACTCTTACACCTCCAGATACTCCAGTAAGAGATGATGGTATGGCAGATAGAACTTCTCTCTCTTTAGGTAAAATATCACTCATTTCTTTAGATATTGAGTATTTGTTATGACAGCTGTTAATGAAAAAGATGAATTAATATTTACTTGAAATAAAATTATTCTAATAACTATTGTGGTTACATAATACCATTTATTTTCTAGGTAGTATAGATGTTAATTCGGAAATTCCTTCTCCATTCGTCCCGCTCACTCCGGAGTATTCTAACAACACAGGTCTGCTCCGCGAACCAGTTCTGTTTAGAAGACGAATATCATTCTCCGAGGATTCTGGAGAATCTCAAGGTTCGGATTTCTCCGGATCCTCCATTAGAACTGATGGAGGACAGAACCTAGATCTATCTCCTGAAATTTGATCTGCACTTTAAGAAAAATCAAGAAAAAGTAAAGTCATCTTGAACCAGTGTTTAGTTTTTCAATTAGCGTGAAAATTTTTGTACAAAAAAAGATTGTGTATAATGTATATTGTATATTCATACAAAGTATAGTTAGAAAATCTTAAAGAAAGTATCTAAACCAGATCTTAATTCACCGAATTCTGTCAAGATTTAATTTTTCCTTTAAATTAGTTTTGTTAAACTTACGTTATATGTTAATAATCTTTCCCAGTGATGTTAAATCTGACCGATCTGTATTTTTTGTTTGTTTTGTTTAAAGTCTAGTTTATTACTTGTTGTTATTTGACAATTGTCATGTTTTCCCGCGTTTATTGGCGGACCCACTTCTAGTTTAAATATTAACCTACTGCACACAGAATATAAAGATTTCTGATCTATTCTGTCTTGTTCTCATATTTACAAGGAACCCTAATGTATTGTGCTGGTTTGATAAAATAAAGCACGATTCTAACATGTTTCTCCTTATTTTTCAGGTTTAAAATGGTGGAATTTGATCCCGACCACTTCAGTAGATTCATTAATTTTGGGGTATTGCAACGTAATTTTGCTGTTAACTTTATCTTGTTCTTTCTTTTTTTCTCGATCTTTAAGATTTTTGGATTTCATAGATATATCCCCCAATTGGACAACTCAATCTTAATGAAATTTTAGGATTAAATAGCAATTATCAGTAATAAGAATTTTGTTATTCTACACTTTCAATTTTGATGGAATAAAGTATGGTGGATTTTGTTGTGGGCCCGGCTAATACTGAGTTTCAAAATATTTAAATGAAATCTAATAATATTGCAATAACAAAACAATACCATTTATAATAATTCAATAATGAAAATAAAATAAGGATTGAACGATGAGCCTTTTACTGGATAATTTTTTTGTGTTTACAGATTAGGAATGAATAATGTCGAGATATCGGAGAAATTTCTAAAACCGTTCTACAAGGTTTTCATTGGACAGCTAAGGCAGTGTGTTTGGGAAGGTATAAATATGGGAACTAAAGATAATATTAAAATGATAATGAAATGATAATGAAATGATAAATATGGGAACTTAGGATAATATTGAAATGATTAATATGGAAACTAAAGATAATATTGAAATGATAAATATGGGAACAAAAATAATATTGAAATGATAAATATGGGAACTTAAGATAAAATTGATATGATAAATATGGAAACTAAAGATAATATTGAAATGATAAATATGGGAACTAAAGATAATATTGAAATGATAAATATGAGAACTAAAGATAATATTGAAATGATAAATATGGGAATTAAAGATAATATTGAAATGATAAATATGGGAACTTGAGATAAAATTGATATGATAAATATGGGAACTAAAGATAATATTGAAATGATAAATATGGGAACTTAAGATAAAATTGATATGATAAATATGGGAACTAAAGATAATATTGAAATGATAAATATGGGAACTAAAGATAATAGTAAAATGATAAATATGAGAACTAAAAATGATAATGAAATGATAAATATGGGAACTTCGGATAATATTGAAATGATAAATATGGGAACTAAAGATAATATTGAAAGGATAAATATGGGAACTAAAGATAATATTGAAATGATAAATATGGAAACTAAAGATATTATTAAAATGATAAATATGGGAACTAAAGATAATATTGAAATGATAAATATGAAAACTAAAGATAATATTGAAATGATAAATATGGGAACTAAAGATAATATTAAAATGATAAATATGGGAACTCAAGGATAATACTAAAATGATAAATATGGGAACTAAAGATAATATTGAAATGACAAATATGAAATTTCAAGGATATTATTAAAATGATAAATATGTTATTTTTTTTTTGTGGCAGATTTTAAGCTCATTCGTGATTTGTGTGGAAGATTTTATGCATATAGAATTTAGATAATGTTTGTGGCAGATTTTCTTCGCTTTAATTGCATTTTTGGCAGATTTTATGCGTCAGGGTATATCTTGAGACATTTGTGAAGAGTTAACATAATTTTGTGGCTGATTTTAAGCTCATTTATTATGAATTTAAATTTTGTTTGTGACAGATTTTCTGAGATTCAATTGCGTGTGTGGCAGATTATGTGTGCTAAGACATTATTATGGGAACTAAAGATAACATTGAAAAGGCAGTCATGGGTTCAACATTTCTCTTTCAGATTATTTATCTATTTGATTTTATATATATATGCAATTTCTTCATTCATGCATGCAATATGCATAAAGATTTTCACTGCTCAATATTTGAAACTATATATTGTATCTTTTCCAACTATGAAGGAGACTGTTATCACCTACTGCTAGATGAGAAAACCACTCTGGACTGTCACATGATCTGGGTTCAGGTATACACATACACATCCATGCAGGGCTTCATTCAGATAAATCTTGCATCTTTCTAATATCATTACTTTCAGTTACATAAAATGTGGGTTATATAATTTCTGGAACCCCCTCCCCCTCCTTCTTTTCTTTAAAACAAGATAATTTTTTTATGAGAAGTAAATTTAAGAGAGAAACATGTTGAATTCACATCTATATATAAATTTGGCTTGTCTGTTGGTCTGTTTGTATCCAATAAACGTCAAAACGGCTGAACCGATCGGGCCCAAATTTTTTGTGGGACCTCACGGGACCCCAGGGAAGGTTTATGAATGATCAAAATTTTAAAAATTTGTGTATAAAAGTTTTTTATTTTTGAAAATGCGCAAAAAATATTATGAAATCCGCACAAACTTTTTTGTTTTTGTTTTATACTGTACAAAGAGAAGATGTTCAGAGATAAAGCCACAATTAAAAGTTGAAATAGAAGATGGGCGCGAAAAAGCCTGTTTTTTAATATTTTCATAAACCCTTAGAAATCCCCCTCCCTCTTCGTTCATTTTTGGTAAGAAACATCTATTTGGGATTATGTGTTTAAGTTTGGAGTTGATACAATATTCTTTTCATGTTGTCCAGGGTGTTGTAGTATCCTGTGACGGGCAGGACGGATTGGTTCTCCAGGATACGGATGGGTCTACGGTCCAGGTCATCAATATCTCCTTTTCTCCAGGTATTCAATTAGTGAAGATATTTAGAGATGGATGGATTACTATTTACTTTTGTTATTGCCATTTCTGTAATGTCGTCATGGCTCTATTGACATTTGCGCTATGGTCATTTACTCTAGTACCATTATTTCTATTACAAGTTTTTTTTATTGCCATTTGCTTTACTTTAATTTACTTTAGTACCATTATCTCTATTGCCATTTTTCTATTAAATGCCTCTTTAAACAACGCTTCAGTACTTCACCATTTCCCCTCTCCATCATTCTCCCCTCTCCATCTGCTCCTCTCTCCATCTGCTCCCCTCCACCATTATTCCACCTCCGCCATTCTCCCCTCTTGACCATTCTTGCACCTGCTCCATTCTTTCCTCTCCAGTATTCTCCCCTCTATATAACAATCTTGAGAATTGTTTACTTTTATAAATTATAAAACCCTGTTTAGTGTAAAGTGAGAAATTAATCTTTTTTTTGACGAGAAGTATATTTTCTTTGTTTTGATCAATTAGAGTAAGTAGGATTGTAGGATACGGTTTGTGACGTGTTCTGTAGCTCAGTAGCCAGTTTCGTGGTAAACAATAACACAGATATTGAAACCCGCAACTAAATTTAAAGTTTATGTAAACAAATTATTAAATGCCTTGTACGATTCACTATGTATTATTTGTCGATTGTTTACATAATAATTAATGTTTTTTACGAGAAGTATATTTGGTAATTTCCCAAAGAACTATTTTTTTACCCCGCCCCCCCCTGCCCCCCCCCTACTATCAATTTTTTNATGGCAACTACCCTCACTACCCCAACTACCGTCTATATGGGTCCAAAAATCGTTCTTTAGGAATATACCCGTATTATTTGTCAATTGTTTACATTAAAACTAGTTCCAGAGCTGTTCTATTATTCACCGTAGAATTTAGAATATAAGCAAACCCTGCGTTTGAGAGGAATAATCTAGAATATTGGAATTTGGACCTTCATGGTTTTTATTTTGTTTTCAGATTTGTGATCTTAGCTCAAAGCCTTACGAAAAGGATATGTGGGAGGTAGAGGTTAGAGAACTACAGAACCTGCTTCGAGGTCAGATTAAGATACAAATCTAGTTCTAGCATGGAGCCGGAGAAGGAGAAAAATCCCGGATCTGATCTGGATCCGGGTAGTGAGAACTTTGACTGTATGAAAGCGTTGTATGATCCTAGTTATGAAATATCAGATAAAGATGCTGTATGTATGGATACTGTGGAACAATGTATAAAGTTTATATCCAACCCGGATTCTACTAGGACGGGAAAGGAGAAACCAAAACCTGCTCCGGAACCTGAGAAGATAGAGAGACGGTTTCTCCCGGAACAGATGCCGGTTCAGTCAAATCGAAAAGAGTTCAAGCATGTTCTCTCTAGAATGAACGAGTTTAAGGATGGACCGCTGGGAACACTCAGGTTAGAATATAAAACTTCAAAGACAAGAGGGAAAAACATGGCAAGAATTTGGTTACTTAAAATTAATCAAGATACAGAACGTTAAACGTTTTGTGTAAAACTTGTGAACACTGAACAGAATTATCTATAAAATAAAAAAATATTTTGGTTTTGAAAATTAAAAACTAATTAAATAGGACTGTTGGCGTAATTTCAAGTGATCCTCTCTATTTATAGAACAAATAAATAAAAATCAGAAAGAGTTATTGAAACTTTTGTTTTCAACGTCTCTAATAAAACTAGAAATTTATCGTTCATAATCAAAATCTTTTCGTCAAACCTATTTATGTGTTTTGCTATTTTAGTGGAATTTTGCCGCCTTTTCATGTTCTAAGTTATTCATTTCTTGAAAACTTATATTTTAAATATTGCAGTAATTGGCAGAGGGAGAAAACTAGAATCAAAGTATGGACTCGAGACATGAACAATATTCGTGGTTTCTGCACAGGATTCATCTCAGCATTTGATAAACATTGGAATCTTGCTCTCAGAGATGTAGATGAGAACTTTAACCGTCCTCGGAGCAGGAAAACATATTCATCATCAACCATGAAATCTATCTTGATGCCGCAGGACCTACCGGTGGAAATGAAGATAGGTAGTTCTTTGCTCAGGGTGATCAAGATAGAGAATAAGTTTGAGGTTTGTGTTCGTCATGTTCCTCAAGTTTTACTTCGTGGAGAACATGTTGTTATGATCTCAAAACTCTCCTAGGTCATGGCTATTAAACTAAGAAGTTTCTACATTCCATATTCTCAGATATTCAGACAGGCCAAAATGTATCTTTGTCTCGAATTTAAACATATGAAAACATTGATCATGAGTTAATTATGACGCTTATCTGGCTGTGAAAATTTAACAATCAGCATTTTTATTTTTTACAGAGCTATAATGGAGCTTTTACACGATACGCTTACAGTACTGGCGAGTCAAGCATTATTCTTCTTGGTCGGTTGGGTCTTCTTCGTCAAGATGCTGTTCAGGGACTATGAGCTCCATCATCTACTTGTCCAGGCAAACTTCAAGAATCAGATTTAAATCTTTAAAAAAATAAAAAAATATTAAATGCTTTTTTAATAAATAAAAAGATAATAATCCTTGAACTCTGTTTGGTTCAGCTGATCTTCTGTATCAACTTTACTCTGTCCTGCACTATGTTTGAGCTGATCATCTTCGAGATTGCAGATATTCTAGATATAAGCTCTAGGTAACCATAATTAATAATTTTATTTAAATATATTTGTGTCTGTTGGTATGGATGTGTCCAATGGGTCTCACATGATCCCAAAAAGGGCTATGAAGTCATGGATGCTCAGAATAAAAAACTTTTCCGTACACATATTTCGGGTTTCGAAAGATTTCAAAATCCACCAATGAAAACAGAAAAATATGCAAAATTTGGAATTAAATTTAAATAATGTACAAAAAGAAAATATTCGCAGGTAGGATATCGATGAAAAGTATCAATGATATATTCTTTATTTAGATATTTCCACTGGTATATTGCAATATATTCAATGCTGTTTATGGTGATAGTTTTAACTCCATTCTATATTGTCTACTTCATACTATCCACCAGGTAACAGGATTTTTAAATAACAAATTTAATAAGATAGATAATTTACTCTCCTGTTTTTCAGTCGACTGGTATCTTCTAGTGTGAAGAAACCTTTAACTCTAATAGTTTGGTGTATTTACTTCTATATATTCTGGAAGGTAAAACATCATTTCAACAAAAATTCGTTTTCCCCCCACCCGGAAACCATTATTTTCCCTCATTTCCTGAACAAAATTTCCGGTTACTATTTTTGAAAAAATTTATTTTTTGATGAAAATATTACTAAAAACCAGCCAACCTTCTTTATTTAATTTTGTTAAGTGTAAAAATATTGGGTACTTTTTTGATTAAAATGCTCAAATCCAACTTTCATCAGTTCTAAAGTTTTCTTTGATTTTGTTTATAATTTTTAAACTTATTATGGTTTTGAGGTTTTTTTTTGTAAATCAAATCACTAATGTAAGCTAGAAAAAAAATCGTCAAAATTAATCAAAATATCCGTTTTGAAACACCGAGTTCAGAAACGTTTAAATCGTAAAAATCCACTGAAAATTAATTTAAGAAACTGTTATTAAAAAAGATATTTGCTAGAGTATCAAAAACCAAATAAAATGTATTGATAAATAGATAATAATAAGATTAATAATTATTGTTTTCAGCTGGGAGACCCGTTTCCAATCCTATCTCCGAAACATGGAATTCTATCAATAGAGCAGGGAATCAGTAGGGTCGGAGTAATTGGTAGGTTCAGAGATAATATAAGATTTAAATGATAAAGATCCTTAGATCAAAACTATTGTATTTATGCAAACTAAATCAAAACCATTCGACCGCCATTGTTGAGACAAACTTTGTAATATTTTTACATTTCTTTAAGGTTTATGTTTATGTTTACCCTTCAGTAGATAGACATGAAAATTTAAAACCCTAATATGCGCGTAATAATTATACAATGTGGGATACCCTGTATTTGTAGCTTTATAGCGTATAAAATTGTTGTATCCTACTCCAGATGTAACTATAATCCCCTACTCCAGGTGTAACTATACTCCCCTACTCCAGGTGTAACTATAATCCCCTACTCCAGGTGTAACTATAATCCCCTACACTAGGTGTAACTATAATCCCCTACTCCATGTGTAACTATAATCCCCTACTCCAGGTGTAACTATAATCCCCTACTCCATGTGTAACTATAATCCCCTACTCCAGGTGTAACTTTAATAACCTACTCCAGGTGTAACTATAATCCCCTACACCAAGTGTAACTATAATACCCTACTCCTGGTGAAACTATAATCCCCTACTCCAGGTGTTACTATAATCCCCTACTCCATGTGTAACTATAATCCCCTACACCAGGTGTAACTATAATCCCCTACTCCAGGTGTAACTTTAATACCCTACTCCAGGTGTAACTATAATCCCCTACACCAGGCGTAACTATAATTCCTTACTCCAGGTGTAACTTTAATCCTACTCCAGGTGTAACTATAATCCTACTCCAGGTGTAACTATAATGGCTCTTCTCTCTGGGTTTGGTGCGGTCAACTATCCTTATACTTCTATGAACGTGTTCATGAGAAAGGTAAATTTTATCGGGAAATGAATTGAATTTAAGTGGTTTTCATAAAATTCCTCAGTCTCTTGATTCAGGTGACAAACAACGACGTTCTTCAGATAGAAAAGAAACTTCTGCAGAACCTGGAGAAGATCCTTGTGAAGAAAAGAAAGATTGCTGTGGCGGAGAGGGAGCTACTGAACCGGGAAGGGTCGGAGACCGAGGAGAACTGGTGGGGGAGATTAAAAGCTGCCACTTCGGTCCTAAAACCTACTAGGAATAAAGGACTCTTAATTTTGAAAAGAATCATATAGTTTAATTAAGATTTGGCCCTGGTGAAGGAGGAATTAGTAAAATTCATGAGATAATCCTTTATTTTGGTTCTAGTGAGAATATTCCTCAGTTAAAATCTGATATCGGAGTACTAGAGGAGTTTTCTAGACATCTTTTTCTAGAGGTAGGAGTACTTAATCAACCCTATACGTTGGGAGGAGGGGG